CTGAGTGCTGGCATCCTCAGGCACTCCTGTGTATCACAGGTATGCTGGCTTACCCATTCCTTGAGTCCTCCATGCTGTCCTGCAGAACCTGAAGGAGCCACAGCCCCCGGAGTATGCCCACGAGAAACCTGTATTTATCCTAGCACCATGAATAGTATCACCTCTTCTGTGTGCCCTGCTGGAAAAAAAAGACTGTGAAACATTGCTCTATATAATGTGGTGGCAAAGAGGTCCAATCTCTATCATCAGACCCAGGTTAGAATTTTAGTTCTGACAGTTATTATCGATAGCTCTGGGAGAGAGACTACAGCTTTCGAAACCTCAATTTCTGCACTATAAAATGGATGCAATAAATCTACCTTCCCTAAAGAGTTGGTGCAAGCATTGAAGATGATAACATAATGGCACTAATAAATAGTATCACCGTTGTCCATTGTACTTATGCCCTTTTAAAACCCAATATCTTCTCTTTCTTTTTTAACCCAATATCTTCTCTCTCCCTCTCTCTCTCTCTCTCTCTCTCTCTCTCTCTCTCTCTCTCTCTCTCAATTAAAAAAAGTAATGTGAAGTATTTAAGGAGGGTCAGCTGGTGGTGCAGCAATAAAGCATTGCTGAGTGATGTGGGATCCCTAAGTAAGACAGGAGGTTCAGTTCTCAGGATAACTGTGCACAAGGGAAGCTTGTGTGCCTATATTCCTGGCTGGCTGGGAAGGCTGGGAGAAGCTCCCAGACCCTGTTTAAGTTCTTGCTCTCTCTCAATAATGAATACACATGAAAAAGATGTAAAACATGGTATAGAATGCTCTGTCATATGAACTTCAGATTATTTAAAGTTAGTTTTGTTTCCTTTAAGTGTCTTCTTCTAGCTCAGTATGTCAAGTATTTTAGCATCTCTTGGTCCAACATGAGTTCAAGTTCCTTCAGCATCTCAGTTATCCTCTTCCAGATATCCCATGGTGTCTTTGTGTTCCTTTTTGAATATACAGTAGTAAGCACAGAATATAGCCCTGTACATGTGACCCAATAAGCTAGTCTTAAAGAGTGGGTGGAAGAGGGGACCAGAAGAAAGATATACATTCTGGCTAATGGTGTAGTGAGCAATGAGAAGAGTACATATAAATGTCGTGCTTATAAATAGATATGCCTAACTAGTTAAAGAACAATCGTGAGGGAACGATTTCAAAAGGGCTGAATTATGAAGTCCTTGGACCCATGAGACTTTGAATTCTACTGAATGTAAAGGAGAACCAATGAAATTGACATTATTGGAGCATCATCTGCCATTTGAAAGCAAGCAATCGCATCATGTATATGAGTTAATCACAAAGAGTAAAATGTCATCAATGTTGCAATAGAATTGCCTGGAAAACTGGAGATAATCCACAAACTACACATTTCCTGGACTTACAGTGGCTGTTGCATGCCACAGTTCACTCAGGTTGAAAGAGAATGATGACCCAAAGAAACGATCTTGTCCTATCCTGGGAGTCACAACTCGGGAGTTTCAAACTTCAGCTTTCCTTTCTCTCTGACCCCCTTTCATCCTGCCTTATGGTCTTTCTTCTTTCATTCAGTGCAGCACAGTGTAGGACCTTTTGGGACCCCTGCTATTTATTAGCTCTGTGACTGTAAAACTCAGTTTCCTTTTGTGCAAAAATGAGTGTTTTTATAGTCCTTGAAAAATTAATTGTATGTAATTTAATTATTCATTAAATGAGTAAAGGTATCTAAAGTGCTTAGAAGAGAACCTGGCAGTAGTAAGTGCTATTTATGTTAATTGTAGTGCTTTTGAGTCATTATTATCCATATATTTGACGGATACTAAATATTGTGCTAAGCAGAGAGGACACACTGGTGAATAGGACCCCAAAGTTCACGTTTCAAAGGCAATGACTGGAATCCGACTCCCGGATCTGATTTTATAAGCTACTGTTTGTCTTTGTAACCTTGCATGGGGCACTTCATCACTCTGAGCCTGTTTCCTCATCAGTTAAATGAAGATTAATAAAAGCTACTCTGAAGATTTGTTTCGACTATTAAATCAGACAAAATAGGCACACCCCCTGGCCCACAGTGGGCATTAAATACACACCCGTTCCCTCCCATCCTCCCACACAATCTTCTGGTCACGCCTAAAGCTGGGAAGCCTCTCTCGAAGCTTAGAAGCCGGCTCCTGCTAGCGGGCAGGCGTATGGGGGTATAGCGAGAACTCATCTCCAGGAAAGGCAACACCTAACAGCGGGGGGGACCAAGCGACAGGAGGACTGCGGGGACCGCCCCGGACTACATCTCCCGGGATGCTCAGCAAGAGGGAGCGCCCGGCCCGCCCCGCCCCGCCCCGGCCGGCACGCCCGGT